GTTGTCAGTTTTTGAAGAGCTGCAGCAGAGGAGCAGGGAGCTGGTGGTTCTCACGCAGATCCTGATGCAGCTTTTTCCTGAGGTTTCGTAACAGAATTAAACAATTTGTGTCATGTGTTGCCATGGAGACTGTAAATCACTGTCATGCTGGGCTTTCTGTCAGGGAGCTGGTGTCTTTAATTGCACTAACCTCCCCTGCAAATCCAGGGCTTGGTTTTGAGCTCTTTATCTGCTGCAACGGCTTTGCCCTGGGAGCTCTGCCTCTGGGAGAGCAGAGCTGGAACCGGGGATAGGGGTGCTCACACATTGAGTATCAAGTATCTGGGGTCGATTTTATTATTGTTGTATGTGGCTACACCTCCGCTCCGATGAACAGAAATTATAATGATTTACCTAAGCTGAGATCTGTTCCACTTGCATTCAGGGCACGTTTTGCAACAAGGATGGGGATTGGATACACTAACTACATGTTGTGGTGACCTGTTGGAGTTTGGTGGTCCAGTCGGACAAAATAAGCTGAATTTCTCCGTCTTTGGTGTTTTTTTATTTTACTTGGCTGCTCCAAGGGGATAGCTCAGCCCTTCCACTCCATCCCCATGTCCAGACAGGTAAACGAGGTTTTATGCAGTTTATTCTGCCTCTGTAAAAAAAATCCTTTTTGCAGAGGAGGCTCAGCCTCAGTGACACTCTTAGGTCTGTGTTTCTCTTTTTTTCCTTGCCATCTATCCCAGTAGCCACATTTCTGACTGTCTCAGCATTACTGGCTTATTCTGTCAAGACACAGATCTTGCCCGTGGTTATGAAGGCGGTGGTATAAATCAGCCTCCTTCCAGTGACTTAACCAGAGCCCTGACTGCATTCATCAGCATAGGGTATGGATCCTTCTCTTGGCTCCTTCAAAATAAACAACTATAAATTGTAAGATTATTATCATCAGAGCTTATTAGCGTATTACCACATGCTGCTTTGTATTCAGACAATAGATAAAAATGTCTGTGCTTCGTTTTTCTCAGTCAGATCTACAGCAAACACGCTTATTCTTGCTCCCATCTGAGGAAGACCGTGTCAGTACTCTTGCCAAAAACACGTGAAAATCAGCCCAAGTCTTTTGCACTTGCCCGTAGTGACGTAACCAGCCAGCGTGGAAGCTCTGCACGCATTTGGGAATGTTTAATGTTTTCCAGGAGGTGACACATGTTGTTTTTAAGGTTTGATTTATTAGCTGGTTTAGATGATAATCTTGTCAAGGCATGAGCTGTCTTCTTGCTTTGGTTATCAGGGCAGGTGGAGGTGTAGAGGGAGTGAAATACTTGGCTTTTGAAGGGTTTGCATTACGTACCTGCATAGTGGGCACAGGGGACCTGTCGTCTCAGTAGAGTGTTTCCACGAGCAGTAGAAACAGCCCTGCAGAAACATCTAAACTTGCTGCCTTTTGACACTCAATAGACATTTTCGTCTGTTCGTGCTAGCATCCCCTAAAATATTGGTGTTTGTGCTCAACAAACCAGCCTACAGTTCTTGATTATTTTTTTTTTTTAAATAAAAAAAAATCAGTTCAGTTCTTGCTGTTCTCCCAGGCTATGTAGCTTAGATGTACAGTATGGCCAAACCTCTGGAAACGACGGGAAGCAAATACCCTGATTCAACCCATAAGCATGTTGGGCAGAGTCACAGTTTGTATAATGGGCTAAATATTATCCTAGTACTTTGGGGAGCATTTCAAGCAAGATAAGCTCAAGGCTTCTTAGGACCGAGTTAAAGGGGCTGGTACTGAATGAAAATGTAATGCTTGTCTGCCGAGCAGTAGCTTGTGGTTTTATGATGAGGTCAAAAATCGTGCACAAACAGAGTATGGTTTTCACATCCGCAGCCTGTCCCCCACCATGTCACTAACAATCGGCCTTTCATACCGCCTGGCTGGAGCTGCTCCGCTATGTAAAGAAGGATGGGGTGAAATCTTGGTGATGGGCAAAGCAAAAAATTGTTGTCAAATGTGTTGGGGAGGCAGGGGTTTAGCCAGGGTCTCTGTCCTAAAGAGCCTGTGAGGATTGTCTGGACCTAGCGGGATTACACAGAAAGAAAACTTGGTCTTCCAAGGAAAAATCCGTAGGTTTCTATCCAGCCAAGCATGCTGCTTGCTGATGATGTCATCTTGTAAACATGAGAAAGTTGCTTACTCTCCCTAAAACGGGGGTAAGAGACTTTTCCTTGGGATTATGGTGAGGAACTGCAATAAGACTGGTTGAGTTGTCAGCTGGTCTGTGGTCGTCTCCCTGTGCAGCAGCAGTTGCTTGCAGTGGAAATTCTTGCTGTTCTCAAGAATTTCTCCAAAGATCATTTAGAAACAAGCAAACTTGATCACGTTTCTTCTTGCTCTGAAAATTTTGGCTTGTTTCAACTTGGACAAGAGGCCTTTGCAGTTTTTATTAGCTTCAGCAATCTCACCTCTGTGATCACCCTCTCTCCCCTCTTCCAGGGTTTTCTTTTCAGAGGAGAAACTAAGACAGTTCCTAACCATTTGGTTCAAGGAGAAATGTATGTTACATGACCTTAATTAGGGGTCAAGGCATCTAACCTGCACAACATACAGATTATGCATATGGGGAGTTATTCCTGTGTTTGCAGAAATCCCTTAAGTGCAGTCTGAACCTTGTCATCATACATAACGTGGTGCTGGGGAGGATGGAGGAGAGGAGATTCCCTCATTTAAAAAATTGAGAGTTTTTCTCTTTTGGCATCGAGCTGTGACTGTAGGTGGGAATGTAACTCCCAGAGTTGTGTCCTGCTGGCACTAGTTGGATTATGGTGTGGTGATCAGAGGCAAGAAATAGCAAGGAAACCTTGTTCTCATGCCTACCTTGTAGACAGAAAAAGCATAGAGTGAATGAAACTCACATTTCATTGTCCTAATACTGTCTTTGGGTATTACTATGGTTTGAATGATGCTTTTATGGTATGCCTCAGGTCACCTGCTGACAACGAATGTTTCAGTGGGTTATATTTTAGATTACAGCTCAAATTCAGATACAACTGCTTTGACTGGAGGATCTTTTTCCCATAAGTAAAACTTAAACTCAGATGTGAATGGTCACAACTGGTTTTATTTTGTCTCCTTTCATGCACTTGCCTGCGTGCATGGGCAGGTAGGTAGGTCGCGGAGAGAAAAGCTGGTTAGTGGAGCTGTGAAAAGCCCTTTCTCCAGATGGGGTCTCCAGTATACAGTAAGGACCGTGGGACCCCCAAGCAAGTGCCTTTGTGATTTGATAATTGGGATTAAACTGAAATAGTGAATTAGGAGAAAGGGACTAGAGAAACTAGAACATACACTTGGAAATTTGAGATCGTCTTCAATATGAAGTCAAACTGTTAGGGGGTTATGCTCTTGTCTGTTTGAAAAATGGTTCAAGGTGGCTTTTGGGCCTTTCTGGAAATGAAGAGTCAAAGTGTTTTGTTTGAAAAGTATCAAAATGAAAGAATTTCCGGGGAAAAAAATATTATATACTATAGGCTGAAATAAAATTATATTAGTTGGTGTCTCAACTTGCACTGTGCACGCAGCAGCCCTGCGTTTGCAGCTCCTAAGCACCGCCTGGGTCAGCCTGCAGCACGGAGCACATTGGCCTTGCTTGGTGCTCTCTGAGAACAAAAAGGTTAAAGACCTCTTCTTAATGAAGAAAAATCCCTCTGGTTATTGGCAATGCCTCCGAAAGCCTGTGCGGGGAAGTGGGGATACGGATCTGGATGCCGACAGTTTGTGGAGGCTTCCTCAGAGCGGATCATAGAATCATAGAATTTGATAGTCTAGAGTAGCCCTCATCCCCCCTCAGCTCTGACCCCAGCTAGCGCCTGCAGCCAGAAGGGCACAAGCAAAACCAAAATGGACGGGAAAACCAAAATGGATGGGAGCAGCTGCCTGCAGAAAGTGCCACCGCAGCTGCTCCCGCGCTGTACAGCTTGCGTCAAGAAAACCGATACCAAGGAAATCAACTGCCCTCTCTTGAGCCTTATCATTAGGATGGGGGTTTGGTTGGTTTTGGTTTTTAACTGTCTGATAAACATCTCTGAAAATGCAACGGTCATTCGAATCTGGGAGATGGCCACCTGTTTCCCATGTGATTTAAGTAAGCCTCGCTGCTGCCCGCAGGCAGGTGGAGGGCACTGCCCTCCGTAGCATAAGTACAAAACTGCTCCCCTGGCTTCTTCTTAAATAAGCAGCCACTGCCACTGAGTGTTGAAATGGGCCGCTCAGCAATGGCTACCTCTTCTCCTTTCCCCGCACACATGTGCAGTTGCCCAGTTGCAGCTGGTGAATTTTTTTTCCTCTTTCTTTTAAGAGTCAGTTCCTCCGCGGCTCACCCAAGATGAGGGGAGCGGTGTGACCACACTGCAGGGGAAGCAGATCTCCTGGCTCTCTGGGCTGTGTCATAGCCACAGAAACCAGCCTTTTAAAAAAAAAATAAAAATAAAAACCACCTGTCATTCCTGGCCTGCTGCCTTCTTATTTTTATTCCTCAAACTTGAAAATGAGGGAGAAGAAAGCAGCTAAGTGCATTTTTGTCTGCCAGCAGAGCCAGGACTGGACCTTTAACTCCAGTTTCATCCATCACCGCTGCAGATCTGGCCCTAGGACGTAATGTGCTGTTTGGTGTTTGCTGTACCCCGGGTTAAGCAGCAAAGAATAGCAAGGCTCCGGCTTCTCAATGGGATTTGATCACTGGCAACTGGAAGTTATCTGGAGGTTGACAGCTGCGCTGACCCAGGGTGATTTTTGGCTCGGCCATGTGGGTTTGGGCCCTATAGAAAAGATGTTCAGATGATAAAAGTTTTGCACATGTATTTGGTGGCAGTTAGTGATCCATGTAGACAAGGCAGGAATAAACAAGCCACAGCAGTGGGGTTGTCTGCACTTCTGAGTGACGGGTCCGGGTTGTGGTAGAGCTGTTGGGGAGGGTAGGTGCTGCTGCTCCTGTCAAAAATGACTTTGGATGTCAGTACCACCTTCATCCTCACTTCTTAGGCAGCAGGTAAAAGCTGCCCTGTGCATGTTGCCTTCTTTTTGTTGCTAACAAGTGATCAGAGATGATCTTCCTCCAGCAGGTTTAGCACACTCGAAGCATGGCTACAAGTGCTGTTCCCAGCGAAAACCTCCCCACGTACAAGCTGGTGGTAGTTGGAGATGGTGGCGTGGGGAAGAGTGCTCTCACCATTCAGTTTTTCCAGAAGATTTTTGTGCCGGACTATGACCCAACTATTGAAGACTCCTACCTGAAGCACACGGAAATAGACGGGCAATGGGCAATTCTTGATGGTAAGCAAGCTACTCTCGTGGTCCCCTTCCAGTTCTAGCTGATCATAATTGCAAATAGACCTCAATGCCTCCCATAGCGTGTTGTACCCTTGTGTCCCTCCTACCCTGCTGTGGGCTGCCAGGAACCTGAGTGCAAACTGGCCTCTTGAGCTGCGGCACATGGTCTGCAGCTGATCTTCAGCAGACCTTCTGCTTCCACTTGCGTTGGTTCCAGTTCTCCACAGAAATGTGTCTTGCAGGAGTGTAAAACCCTATAGATCATCATGGACGTTTGGGGTAGGCTTTTGCTAAGTGTGAATTATAGCACTGTGAGGTGGCTATTGCTAATGATGCTTCATTGTGGTTAGGCTCATCCCCTGGGAAATAACAGCGAGTGGGTAACTGAATGAGGGTTATAACCAGAAAGAACATTTAATCACAACTGTCATCCACTGACAGTGAAGAATTGTAACACCTTAACTCCTGTCATTCAGGCATGATGTTTTCATATCTAGTTACCCGTTTCATTTAAACACGGGTAGGGTACCAGCCTGGAGAGCTGCTGTAACCAAGATCTTTCAGTTCTTTGAAGAAAGATGGCCTTTTTTTCAAACAAAAACAAAAAAAGAAAAAAAAAAAAAAACAACCGCAAACCAGCCGATCCCCCAAAAAATAAAACCAAAAAATCTTGATTCTGCAGCTGAGGAAAAAGCCCTATATTACCTAAAGCCCTGTATTACCTACCAAACTTACTAGTTTGTGCTGCAAGAGACAGAGTGACCGCAGCCCCAAGGGGAATCTAGCTGTTAAATGTTGTAAATTTTGTTTGGCTTTATACAATAATTAGGTAGCGCATAAAAGCAAGCAAGCATTTTGTGCCTTAATTACCCCAGTGCATATATGTGACCAGTAACACAACTGAACTAAATTTAACCTCACTTGGCGTCGAGTTCCTACCTCCACCCTCTTGTCATGAAGGTGCTCAAGATCTTTGGTGTCTCTGCGTATGTATCACTGGCGTGTGGGGACAGAAAACTGGGGGACTGGCACGAATGGTAGAACCTGGCGGCTGGTGGGGTTTGCTGTGAAGACTGTGAGCTTGGTCTGGAAACTTGAGATCTTAGTTGCACTCTTAAGAATTTATCAGATACAATGTAGTGAATACAAATGGCCCCAAGGTCCTTAAAGAACAGCCTTGACTGAGTATTTAAACAAAAAACCCAACTTAATCTTGCCAACATTTGTTCATTTAAATATGTTAGTAGTTGATCGCTGATAGGAGGGAATGTTTGTGAGATTGGTGCCCAAATGTGTCTCTTGTTACCTGCATCAGAGATACCTGCTCTCATTTAACCATTACATTATGTACCTGCGCACCTTTATTTCTAAAATGCCAGTGTTGTATAAAACAAAAAGCCAATCCTTCTGTAAATTAAATCCATTCTTTTTTTTTTAGTCCAGAATCCAGCCCTCTAAAACAAGCAGCCTTTATCTTCACTGGTATGCCCCGTGTTCTGATATAACAGTGCCAGCTGCTGTGTGCATTGGTGTTCGATGAAACAGCCTGGATTCTGTAAATTATTCAAAAGTAGAATAGGCATCTTTCACTGAATATTTGGAATTTTTGTTTAGTCAAAAAAACCAAAACCCAACCCTGACCTGGGATGGGAGTGGGGAAAGAGCTTGTTCTCCAACAAGCAGAAACTTAACCCTTTATTTTAATGGAAAAGCCTTTCTTTTGCTCAGCTGGAGTTTAGTGACTGTACGCGGGCTGAACTGAATTCAGCTGTGGCCTTGAATGGCATGTTGGGAATCCCTGACTTTCAGAGTTCGTGTGCCCACAGATGCCTTGCAGCCACAGAAGTGAAACTGCAGCTTCTCCTTCTCTTTCCTCCTGCTCGAGATTGTGAACAATCAGAATTTTGGAAGAAGGGCAATGTTCTTGCTTGGAAAAGCATGTGAGCCTTTACCATCTGCCCAGTAGAAACAAGGCATAAAGACTGACTCTCACGTTTGTCTGCTGCCACAGCTTTCTGTCATGGGCTTTGGATCTAGGCCATTCTCGGAGGTCACCATATACTTGGACAGCTGCTCTTGCTGTGGTTACACGTGGTTGCATGAATCACTTATGGTATAAAATTAGGGACAAACATGATAGGAAGGGTAAAGATGCATCATGATAAATTCTAGACTTTCCAGTTGTCCTTTACGGCCAAATCCTTTACAAGCTGATATTTTGTGCAGTGCTTGGTGGGGGGAAGAAGCTGCCCACTCCCAAAATAGGAACTAGTTTTAGAAAATGAGACTACCAAGTGCGGATATAGTGTGAGGGGCTCAGTAAGTTTCTAAGTTTGCAGAAATAGTTATTAAAAAGACCACACAAACAGATACATTGGCATCCAACAACTTAATTAAAAAAAAAAAAAAAAAAGAAAACACAGCCCACTCTCTTCCAGGCTGTTGCCTGAGCAGTTCTGTACAAAGCTTCTCTACCATTTGGTATCTGCACCAGTATTATGTTGTTAAAAAAACCCTTGTACTAGCCAGCTTGCATAAAGCATTTGGCTTCCCTCCATGAAGACCTCTACCCACATTTATTCAGTAGCGCTAACTGGCAGTGTGATGAAATGTTTGACTTGCATTTTTTTCCTTTGCTGAAACCTCTCACTGAAAGTAGACTTAAATGGAATAAGGTTTTATTGCAGATTTTAGACCTTGGAGCCAAACCTACATTCAAACTCTTTTACTTATTTGCTCTCTGGCTTGGGCGTGTCTCTGTCTATTTTCTTACCAAAGAAGAGTCTATGACAGTTCCCTGCCTGCCAGAAGATTGTGGACCTACGTTTGGTGTGTTCAAGTCCAGCACTACACAAAAATACTTTATTGTTGGCCTTACGCCAGCTTTATAAGGCCAATGATGCAGTGTTTGGAGGACAAATGTTGCAGAGTGGAACGGGGCATTTAACCTGAATAAGGAATGCAAAGGCAATTTGTGGCTAGCCCATTTTTCAGTTGCTGCCACCCCAATAAGGCTTTAAGATCAGCCTCCAATTTTTTCTGCATATGTTATCTTCATTTATTCCCTGCTGTTCATACTGAAATCAGCATGGTGATGTGCTTGGTTAAATGCATTCACACGCAGGTGCCGTATAGACGCATCAGGCCAGAATTAAGTGGGGGCCAGGGTTAATCTGCTTTGATTAGCTGTTGCTCCAGTTGAGTTGCTGTCATTAATTTTGTACTCTCCTTTCTGCGTGCAGGCTAACTTAGCAATTAGCAGAGGATTTGTTTTGGTGTGGCTGCAAAATGCCAGTCTGGAATTATTAATCTGGGCATGAAGCCAAAAGTGGAATACCCGAATACAGCAAAAAAATCCCAATGGTTCACAATTCCTTGTGGCTCATAAACCTCACGTAGATAAAGAGGTGGTGAGGAAGAGGAGAGGAAGAGGCCACAAGCACGTGGCTTGGACGTGATGATGACTTGGGCTAATCCCTTAGCTATCAGTAGGACTGTGCCAGTTGGTACCAGCAAAGCAAGGAATTGTGCCCATGGTTGGGTGAAAGGAGGCTGTGGTCTTCCTCCTCTTCCCTTTCCTTACCCTGTATGATTTAGATGAAACTCTCACTGCCTAGAAGTCGTCTTGCTACTCCTGCACTTCAGTTTTCCTTTCTCCCTCTCAGTCCCTGGGTGCACTTGCCTTGGGCTGGCCCTGCACAGCCCTGGTGTGCACCCCCGTGGAGTAACGCCAAGCACCGTTCCTTTCCCCGGGCTCTCTCTCTGCCCTTTCCACCCATATCTGCCATATATCCCTTTTTGCCGAGGGTTTTGGCTGCTAGTCATCCTAGGACAGGCTGTCTGCTTTTCTGCTTTTCTCTTCAGGAAGCTTGGGAACAGTTCAGCCAGGAGGCCAGCGAGAGATCAAAGGTCACTTCAGACTTTGCAGGCAGAAGTGTTGGTTTGCAGCTCGCTTTCTTTTTTTTGTTATTTAAACTTTGGGTAGCATCATTGAAAGAATTAAAATTCAAATTAAGTTTGTACTTTCATTCTTTTATTTGTGTGTACAGAATTTTCCCTCCCTTAATTGCTGGGATTTTGCAACCTTGCAAAAGGGGTTTTGTCTTGGGTTGTGGGGATTTTTTTCCTGCCAGGAAAATTTTGATGTTGCAACATGGAAAACACAAGGCTTTGAATGCTTGCCCTTTGTTAGAGAAAGAGCTCCTTTAAGGACTCGCATCTTTATTCTGTTATTGATGTGGAACCCCTTCTTCTGAAGGCCCCTCTTTTCTTTTTCCTTAAAGAAAGGGCAAGAATTCAAGTACTAGAGTTTTCCATGTTATAACATCTGTGTATTTAGTTAGGGCACAGAAGGGCTCATAAAAGCCTCAGTGTTTCCCCGTTGCATGTTTTTCCCTGAGGAAAGCTCTCATGCTGGAGGCAGCATGGCTGTATCTGAGAAGGAGCAGAAGTATCAGAGTGACCAAGTGAAGCATCTGCCTCGCCTTGCTAACAGCATGGACGCCTCATACCTCTTCAGGGTGACTCGAGGTGTGGGAATACAGAATATAAGCCATGGCCCCTGCGCTCTATCTGCTCCGTGCCCAGAATATTCCTCCGCTGAAGCCAATGTCTGATGGGGACTGCCCTCTCCTACCGTGCTGCTGATGGAAGGAAAACAAAGACTGTGGGGACGGCTTTCCTCAGCCTGAGACTCTTTGGTTTGACTTGTCGATTCAAGTTAAGTTTTCCCTTGAGTTAGCTACTGGGGATGGAGTTTCTCTCTGGCCCCGCCTTTTGAAGCAGAGCTGCACTGCCGAGAGGAAAGCAAGACTTGGAGAAGCGCAATGAGCAGTCCGGCCCTGTAACCTGTGGTCTCCTGACAGTGCCACATCCCAGTTCTGCTCTTTGCTCCAGGGTCTCTTCCTGTATTTCATATTAAGAAGTCCAAGACTTCCAGAAGATGCCTGGTATCAGACTCCTTTGCACTGCTCCTCTCCCTGGTGCTGTGATCCCAGGTTCCTGTCTGCCTGCTGACCCATCCAGGCTTGCACGTGTGCTGCACATACCTAGCCCAAGGGATTTCACTGGAGACTACTTGCAAAAATCAAGCTGTACACATTGTGCTCGCCTGTTGGAGCATGAGATCGAGGTAGACACAAACAACTGCGTCCTGTCCCTGAGCTTCAGGATGTGCAGCCAGTCTTTGGGATGCTGGAGGGCAAAGCACTCCAAGAGCCGTGTTGAGCAGCTTTCAGGACTGGGTGCAGCAATGTGCAGTCACTGCTTGGAACGGGCTGCTGATGTCTGATTCGGGCAGTGAAACCCAAGGGCTGAAGGATAGAAAATGGGGTTAACCTGCCAGTCTGGTCATCTTTGGCCCCTTCGATGCCATGGACATTGGAGAATCTCTCTTGAGTTGATCTATACACCTAGCTGCCCAGCAATGTAAAGATGAAGACATAGGAGGGAGTTTTGCCTAGGTATGAAAAGAGAAGAGGGACACACCTGCACAACCAGATCTCGTCTCCCCGAAGGCTGGGAAGGTTGTGTTTGAATCTGAACTGAATCCAGCCTAGGCTCTAGAAAAAGCAGTGCCATGACTTAGATTTCATAGTATGTCTCTGCCCTTGGCTTAGATTTACATGCCTGTGTCTCTGGCATTTAGAGCACTGTCGGTTACTGAGACGTTGCCACATAAAATACCTGGAAGCACCAAGTGCTTCTGTGTTAGGTCACAAATTCCTGTGTATTCCTGGGCTGCTGTGTCTGCTCAGAGGTGCTCTTTAAGCAGCTGCACTCTTGCTTAACCCTTCAGGATTCACAGGAAAATGCTGTGTAGAGCTGTAAGGGGGCAGGATTCAATTAGCAAGGAGTTCATAACAGTTGGAGTCACATCCACTGGAAAGAGGAAAAGGCCATCTCTTTGCTCAGCAACTTCTTACCTGGAAAGCAGGAGACCTCCCTGCTGGGCTCTTACAGCCTGATTGCTCTTAATTTAGTCTCCAGCTGATCGTGTGATAGCTCTGTAAAGTGGCTTTGCCCTCTTTGGATGTCTGTTCCTACGTGAGCAATAGTCCTTGGCTTCTGTCTCCTCGATCTTTACCAAAACGCTTTCATTAACACTCCTCCTTGTTGCTTCTTCCGTCAAGTTTGTGGGAACTTCACCAAGGTTGCTGTTGGAAGTCCCTGACCATGCGCTGCTCAGCCTATGAATCTGATTTCAGTTCTTGGAAGAATGAGGTAGAGGAAACACGCTGTGCTTGGGTCCAGCTTTGTTTCTACATTGGCTTTTATATGCTGCCAGTGGGGCAACTGCCAGCGAGAGGCAACTACTGTTTTAAAGTGTACCAGGGGAAGAGAGAGCTCTCAGTTCTTCTCTGCTATGTCTGCTGGCAACCTGTCTGCAGAAACAGGAATTTTAAAAGGAGGCGAATGCTGCCTAACATCCTAAATCTCCTCACCCCTTTGGGAAGCCTGTCAAGTCACCTTCCCAAGGTTTTGCTTGCTACTTTCCCATTTCTGTAGGTAAGAATCTTCTTGAAGCTTTTATGCCACAAGGTTGCACCAGAAGCAAAGCCACTTGCATCCGGCCCTTTTTTGGTGCTGATGCTTTCCAGGATGGGCTCCTGTCCTGTCTATGAAAGGTCCAGATCACACTCTCCTCTCTGGTTATTTACGATTCATGAAGCACAGAAGCGTTAGGATGGGGGGTTGTCTTTATGAAGAGCAAATTTAAAGCTAAAACAAGGACTTTCTCTGGCCATCCACATGATGCTTAATTTTGCATGAGTAACCCATGTGAGATTAACCTTAACCTTCACTGCTACGTGTCTTTTACTTGCATTTCCAAAGTGCCATTTTAAATGCTGTCTGGACTTGCTCGCCTTTCTATGAATGCTGCCAGTGAATTCCCTTTAAATAGCAGCTGCTGACACAGCAGCTCTGCCTGTGTTTAGTGTGATGCCGTGGCCAAGATCCAGGCGCGATAGGAGTGGCAGGACCGCAGCCCTGCGCCGTCCCTCGGGTATCCCCACAGCTCCCCCCAGGCTCGTCCCTGCCCTCTGCGGGGGGTGGAGAGCTTTGGAGAGGCAGCAGCTGGGGATGGGTTGATGGGTGCAAGAGCAGAGCTGGATGCTCCTCGCGTTTCATGGGAGGTTTGCAAATGTGCCAGAGCAAGGGGAAGTCCCTAAGCGAATTACCACGCAGGATACGGCACATCCATCTCCACCTTCCTGCCCACGGCTTACGCTCGGGCACCTGCCCTGTCTCAGGGGGAGGGAGGGCAGGAGAGCCTGGCCCCCTGGAGAAGCTGTCCCACTCCACCGCAAGTTGGGTATGTGTGTTGGAGAGGGGAAGGGAAGGTGTGTTTGTGTGTGTGTGTTGGTTGTCAGCTCTCAGCCCTGCCCTGATGTTGCGTCCAGCCAGTGCAGGAGTCAGATGAGGGCAGCCCAGCCTCTCCTTCCAGGTTGGGTGGGTAGGAAGGATTAATTTCCTTTTCCGTCCTAGCCATGCGGTCCTGGCCTTATTCCATGGTAGCAGTTCTGCCCAGGGCATAGAAATTCACCAGCGCATGCAGTGTCTTTGGGTTATTTTTCTATTTTCTTTTTTCTTTTTTTCCTTTTTTTGTACAGTCCTTAAGAATAGCCTGGATGCTTTTGAGCTGAGACCCTTGTTTCCTAGATTTAGAGAGGAGAAGCAGGATAAAAGGCTATGAAGAGACACCCATGACTTTCCAGCAAGCTCCAGCTACTTGGCAAACAAACCTAAATCTCAGGGTCCCTGCAAGAGCCTCGAGGTTCTTTTCACCTCATGGAAACAGACATTCAAGACCAGCTGAGGCAGGCAAATGAATGAGGCTGAAGGCTTTAAAGGGCTTGCCATCACCAAGTAAGGTCTCCAGGTCCTCCAGCGTAGCTCCCTTTGTTCCAGACATACAGTGAAGGTGTGGGCTGGCTCCTGGGGTGCGCTGTGACACGCAGCCTGTCTGCCTGTGGCCACCTGTGCTGATTCAGCAAGTAACACCGGCAGCAAAGTGGGCTTTATCCTGGCCCCATCTGGAAATCAGAGCAACCTGAGTACTTACCCCTACAGGGAACATCTTGCTAGGACTGTGGGCCTGCTCAGACTAGAAAAACCCATATCAAGCCCTGCTGCTCTGTCAGCAGTACGTTCCTGCCACGGTCTCCATCCACCACTGCCCTGGGCTTTCCCCATCACTCGTGGGCCACAGATGCTAGTGCTGTGGCTGTACGGCAGAGGTGAAAACAGTTTTCCCACCCAGCCCAGTTGACTAGGATGTGAAAACGTTCCCAGCCACCATGAAGGTCCCACATTTGCCTCTAGGATACACCGATGCATGAGGACTATTACTTCTGAGCAGCCAATGCATTTTGAGCTCAGACGATGTTTGTACTGGCAGAGCCTAAGCTGGTGAACTCCTCTTGTACCCTTCTCCTGCCAGCCAAAATCCTGGCAGCGTACTAAGCTGGGCCCCAACAATTGGCATTGGTGATGTGCATCAACGTGTGGTGTTTACCCAGAAGGCTGGCGTAGCTTGCTCCACATGCGGTCCATGATGTAGCTGGTGGGATCCCCTGTGAGATGGAGAACCAGTGAGTTATGGTCATGTTAGAGGGGAGGTTAATCTAGTTAGGAACAGCATCTGGGTTGCTGCCACAACTGAGGTGTTTTAGGGGATTTGAGCATAGATCTAGGCATTATCGATGCACAGAAATACTATCGCTATGTAGGATATGCAAGTTGCTTAAAGGTTTTCCACCTGTTTTAACTAGCATCTCAATATCAGCATACCACCTGGGACTAAATATTTAAGGAGAGTTCCTTAAGGCTGTACCATCTTGCTCTGAAAGCACATAATTGTGTAGAAATAATATCCAGGCATTGAGAAAAGGAAAATGCTTGTAGCTATTACTCTGGGTTGCTTTCCAGCTCTGCTTCACTATGCAGTTTGAGATCGTCCCTGACATTTAAACTGACATTTAATTACTCTTCCAGTCTTGGGTCCTTCCATGTGGGGAACAGAGAGGGCTGGAAGATGAAGGGCTGCAAAATACTTTGAGCTGTATTTTGCCAGAGGAGCAACTCCCCAAGTTCAGTGGTCAGTGTTTGATGCTGGAAAAGGAAAGCAAAATCAACGTCGTCGTCTTCCCCTCCATCAACTCCCAGTGTAGGCACGCAGTGATGAGTGGGGTCTAGGAACGTTTTTTGCTTTGTAACAAGAAACCACCATGTCTATCTAACTTGCTTTCATCAAATGCTGTAGCCTTTGAGAGGACCAAGCCCAGCAGAGGCAGAACGGCCATGTAGGACGTGTAGCAGTGACAGCAGCCACAGGTCATCACAGTAACTAAAAACTCTCATCTCTTCTGTCCTAGTTCTGGATACTGCAGGCCAAGAGGAGTTCAGTGCAATGCGAGAGCAGTACATGAGGACTGGAGATGGTTTCCTTATAGTCTACTCGGTGACGGACAAGGCTAGCTTCGAGCACGTGGACCGGTTCCACCAGCTGATCCTCAGAGTCAAGGACAGGTGGGTGTCTTGGAGCCAGGCGCTGCCTGATCCCGCTCCCACCGCTCTGGACACTGTGCCATGGGGATGATTGCACGTCTTGCCCTGCCTTTCACCTCCTGGATCTCCCAGGACAAATCTTTGCATGCTCTGTGTGGGTTTGTAGACCTACATATAAGGAATAAGAAGTATTTTCCCTTTTCTGCTAAGCATCTAGTGCTTTTAACATGGAAAAGTTCAGTAGTGTTATGATGGAGTGAAAATGGGTCTGAAGGGGAGAAACTCCAGCCAGAACAGTCTGACAGCAGTGTGAGAAAGGCAGGCACCTTTGAAGGTAACCACTTTGGCTCTGAAGAGGGAGAAGTATGCCCTGTGCGCAGCACAGGCACTTGGGGAACACCAGCAGGGAGTCAGCAAGCGTTCGTTCAGCCCTGATCTTTGTGTGTGTCCTGGCAGCATCCTCCTTTCCCTGGCTTCAGTTTGTGCCAAACAAACCTTAGCAGGTCCTGCATGGTTTGGGGCTGTGAGCAAGCACCTTGAAGGGGAAAACACCTCACATTGGGAGGAAATGTATTTTTTACCAGGGGTGTAATGCAGTTAATGCATCGTGCTCTGCAGCAACCATTTTCAATGAATAAAACATCTCTGCATGACCGGGAGAAAGCAAGAGAGGTCACCCACTCCCCTCCTTGTGTGTGCGTGGGAGAAGGTAGTGCTGAGAGTTTAATTGTGGTAATCAAATGTGTCCTGACAGAGCAAGAGGAAGCTGCCAGGGTTTTATCTCCGAGATAACTCCCTTTTCCCATCCCGGTTCAAGAGGTGATGAATCCATCCGCACTGGGTGGGGTGTGAATTAAGCCCTTATATGTCTGAAGCTTTGAAACACTTAGATTTTCCATTCATAATGGCTTTTAATTATGGAAGTCATCAAGAAAAGCCACCAGAGGGTTCGAGCCTCGTTGCTGGCTTCCTTTCGCAGCTCTGAATAACTTCCCCACAGGAAGGGTGGACTCGTATCATGTGAGGTTCACAGCTGACAGCTCTTCCAGTAAAGCATCCAAAGCGGAGCCCACAAGAGTGAAAAGTAAAGGAAAAACCACCTTTTGATTTCATCTAAATGAAGAGAAATGCCACTCGCTCAGTCTGTCTCCTGGATCATGACACTTTTCTTCACTGCCAGCTCAGCTTGGGGCAAATTAAATCTGTTTCTGAAAGTCGAAGAAGACGGGACAGCGTTTCCTGTAACCTGCCCCAAACCGATGTCGGTTTTATCTAATTTAACTTTGTGAAAATAAGGTGCGGTATTCATTGTTTTTCTCTGGACTGAAACTTTTACCCCTCCGTACGCTGTGCAAACACCGGGGCCGGCGTGTGGGAAGCAGGAAGTGAAACGGGCTGGTGAAGTTGTTTTTGTTTCCCCGCTCAATGCCACCGAAGCGCAGAGCGTGAGGAGCTTAATGCTTCATTCAAAACCTGACCTTGTTCAGAAAAATCACAGCAAGAGGAGCAGCGTGAGTAAAGAAACCGTCCTGCCAGACCCGCGGGTAGCTGGGAGCAGAGCTTTGCCCGGGGTTTCGAGCTAGCAGTCGGTTTTGGCGACTTGAAATCCCAAGGAATTGCAGGCTGCGGTGTTAGCAGAGCAGTTCAAAGCCTTCCTCCGGTTTCTTTCCATAACCTTCACTACAGTAAAACTTCCAACTATAGTAGCTTTGTCCAACTAGCGATCGTAAGGCTTACAACAAGGAACAAAGTCCCCATCAAGTTTTACGTCTGATGTAAACAAGGCAAATGAGATACCGTCCAAATGCGATCCCTTTCTTATCAATGTGCTGCAAGTCAAAAAGAAATCAAATAACCCAGACAACCAAGTGTTTTGCTCCAGAACGTTCAGAGTCAAGATATATCAATGCTGAGGTATTAAAATTAAATCAAAGCAACATTATCAGAATGAACAACTGTAACACTCATTTAAAATGCAGAGTGCAGTACAGTATTTTTCCAGCCAGAGCAATGGGGCAACGTGCCAGAGAGAAGATGGAGCCCTTATCGTCTCAATGAAAAATGACCCAGAAACGCAGTTTGAAAATCCGGAGTTACTCAGGGAAGTGTTTTATGCAGAAATGAGTACGGCCAGCTGCCCCTTACCCCAGTAAAATCAGCTCTGTTACAGCAGAGAACACTGCAATCACTTTAGGAGGGTTTAAAGTTAAATATAAGGAAATAATACTGCAATAACTGTCGATTATCAGAGGTGACCTCCTCCCTCAGCAGTGGGTAAAGGCCCTGCAGCACGACTTTGCTCTCTGTCACGCAGCTGGAGGAGAGGCTCCTGTATGGGAGGTGGGGTGGGGTGGGCAGCAGCTGCACTGCCAGGACCTCCTGTGGCACGAGCTGGCTCAGTTCGGTTTAACCACCGGAGCTATGGGGCTTTCTACCAGGGGAGAGCCTGACCCACACACCTCGTCAGGAGAGCCTTGTGCTGGACATGCTGTGGATAGATGGGTCTCTTCTCAGGCACGGGCTGAAGACAGTCACTTACCTGCCTGGTAAAATTAGAGAAATACTGAGTATTATTACAGAGGTAGATGGTTTTGGTACAAAAGGATGGTTGTTCATCAGGGTTTTTGCTTTGGGATTAGAAGCAGGAGATGGTAGGTAATAGCATCTGGAAGCTTAGCAAGACTCTTTGGTTCCCTCCAGCCTCCATCCAGCTGCCACTGCCAGTCTTTCGGTTTGGTTTGGGGTAACAGCTGATGGGGATCTTTGCTCGCAGTCATTGTCTCCCCCATTTGATGCCCCTCTAAGCACCAGCTCCCAGAGTCCATCTTTTCTTCCCCCATGGTTGCTCTTAGTGGATGACCAGGACAAGAACTGACACCAGTTCCTCCACCATACCTCATTACCTTGCAATGACTAGCACCGCCAAGATACGCGGCTACTGAGACGCCTTAACTCTTACAAAAGAGTCCCGTTCTCCTGTTCGAGATCTGTCTCTGTGTCTCTGTTAATTTCCTGACTAATTCTGTAGTTCTTCATCTAGTTGGATCTTCAGTCTTTGCTCTTATCAAGCATTGCAAAAATGATGACACTAAGTCCCTGAAGTGCCTGCAAGTTAAGGATGAATGTGTGCATGCGTGCAACTTGTCAAGTCAATTTTTTCGATAGGAACATATGCATAGCACAGTCTGGGGGCTGATGTGTGTTTGTTTGGTCTTTCTTTATATTTCTTTACACGTATGTGGTATGTCTGTAGCTGAAAATGTTAGATGATGTCAGCATCAGAAAATGAAACTTATGTTCAGCATTTTTTATTGTAGTTTGCTAATAGTTGGGCGGTGGTTTTGATTTTTTCCAGAGAGTCCTTCCCGATGATTTTGGTGGCGAACAAAGTTGATCTAATGCATTTACGGAAGATTACAAGAGAACAGGGAAGAGAAATGGCAACAAAACATAATGTAAGTTTGCGGGATTGTTTAATTGGTTGTTGTAAGTGCCATTACAGGCATTCAGAATTGAATTCCTTGCTCATTTGGAGCTGAATTAAAGCATTTCTCTTACAATCGAACGTTTGCAATTACATTTTCGACTACTGCAGAGTAGTAGCTATACAGTTTCTTTTCGGTAGAGCCTCTGCTGTACACCAGGCTGTAACAAAGCTGTGGCCATCAGGAAACCACATATGCAAGGTGTCTGCAAGTGGTGAGAAACATTAAATGTTCAAAATGAGGGAAGAAAGTGCACCCTCCTGGAGTGAAAAGGCAGAGCCATGCATTGGGAATCGTGCCCAGGTGTCCGTAGGAAGTGAGCTTGTTAAAGATAATGACGTTACAGGGTTGTTAAGCCTATATAAATCTGGCCCACCATCTTAGCTCTGCATTATTCATGCCATAGTTTAGCCTGAGAAACTGGTCTTGGATCAGCGTAGATGACATGATATGTCACTAATCACCTCTAAATGCCAACAGCCCCAAATACCCAGAGGGACGCAGCAGCTCCCGTAGGAGGGACTGAATGGCAAACAAGCCTGAGACCTCTTGGCAGCTTGCTGTGCCTAAACGGCAATCTCTGCGGTGTTTCTAAATGAGCCACGATGGGAGTTTGGCTGGGCAGGTTCGCTCCTTCCCCTCCCCAAGGAGGCTGGTTTCTGTGGGAGCCAGGATTCCTAAACTGGAGCATGTTGCGCCCATCTGTACGCACACGCTTTGGAAAAGGCCGTGTACGAAAATACCTTATCAGAGGCAGTCTTATAAATCTGCCAGTGTGCTGGACAAGCACTCTAGGAGGCCCCATCTGGCTGTCAGACTTTGAAGGAGAAGATCATTTTACACTGAAGGGGAATAGTAGTCATGAAATATTCATGCAGTAGTCCTAATAAAATATGGCAAGCAAGAATTTTTGGCAAGTGCTCGTCTTTCAACAACCTTCGGCTATTTTGATGTCTCCTAGCACAGCTTAGAGGGAGAGAACATCTGACGACATAAAGTCTGTGATTATTCTTCCCCAAACCCGGAGCTTTGATAGCAGCTGGTTTGCCTGGTGCTTATTCCAGACCTTTTGTAAGCGCTCACTGACCTTGCTGTGAGCGTGAAGGTGTCGACAGCAGTGTCATGACAACACTTTGTTTACCTGTATTTTCCCCGGTCTCTTAAGCACCCAATTTCTCCAGCCTTTAGTGTTTTTCATTTTGAAACTGGTTTGTTACCACTGTGTAGGCTGTTACTAATCTCTATCGTGATATGCTTCTCTCCTCCAGATTCCCTATATAGAAACAAGCGCCAAGGACCCACCTCTAAACGTTGACAAGGCTTTCCATGATCTCGTGAGGGTAATAAGGTAAGCTGCAAACTCTTTGCTTCTCACTGCCCATGGACGGGACGTGCAGGAATCCTGGCCTGGAGAGCCAGGAGCCAACTTTTGGGGAGCAGGGGCCAGGTGTGTTGGTTGGAGGTGGGAGATTTCTGGGGTTTATTAAACTTTCTTGTCCTGTGTCTGCGTAGGGATGTGACTAGCACTTAGTTACCCATCAATGCTAGGCAGGTTGAGAACTAGCTGTGGCCACGATGAAAATACATTAATCAATGAACAGTGCAAAGCCTATTATAACGATCAGCTTTAGAAGGCCAGTCTTAAAAGTTCTGGACCAGTAATTTGAGTTCTCATAGCTTTGTCTTCTCACGGTCTCGTGTTGCCAGAGGTTAAAAAGGACTGGCAAACAATTCTACAAAATTCTAATGTTGTAGGTGACTTCTAACATTTTCTGCTCACTAAATGGAAAAAATTAAGCCGCTTTGTATGAGAAACAGCATGACCTAATGGCTAAGCCACAGGTTTCCTCCTCAGACTGCAGAGGTTTGTTCCCAGTTTTGGCATGAGCTGCCTTTGCTCGCTTTGGCAAACGCCCGGTCTCCGGGCGAACCCCTGCTCTGGCTGCGGGTGGGGAGGGACTGCCTTCCAAAATCCCGGCTGCCCTGCAGGAAAAGAGCTGCACGCACATCTCGGCGTCTCGGCTGATAACCTCAAATCTTTCTGAGAAGATTTGTTTTTCTGGCACTAGTTGCCTGCCAGATTTTTCTGGGCCCTCATTTTTCATGTTTCGGGAGGGTGCTGAGCTGAAATCATGCTCCTCCCCGCCGTGCAGTCAAAGTGCCTCGCTCGGCAATTAAACCATGAGGCATCTATTCACAGCGTATCTGTACTTGTGAATATCTTAGCGCAGCCTCGAGTCAGCCTCCATCAAAAGCAGATGGTACTGCCCACTCTTCCCACATGGCTCAAAAGCAGGGGGCAGAAAGCCTTTGGAGAACTGCAGAGCTGAGTTGGAAATGTCCCAAGCTATTTCCCAACTGTTCTGTAACTCAGCATTAGCTGGCTAGCTACTCCTTTTGTGTTACAGGGAGCTCTCACTACCATCTATTCTACTCTGGAAAAAAAAAAACAAACCACACACAGCAAAAATAAGATGGTGAGGCTCTGTTTGCTTTTTTTACATAACGTGACTCTAGACAGGCACAGGCTGGAAGGAACGTGGTAATGAGACATCACTAAGTTCAAGCCCTAAAAACGCACTCAATAATGTCAAAAATAGGTGATGTACCTCAGTTCCCTGAGTAGTTAACATGGAAGTTGTTGCCAGCCAGGTGAAACTCTCCATGGCATCAAGGGCACCAGAGATGTTCGCAAGAGCTTGAACTCGGGTGAAGTCAGAGAGCAGAGACGTGCTGTGTGATCTATCTGGTCACTTGCCACAATGCGGCTTCGCTTGGTCTTTGGATGTTGCAAACTGTCCCCAGCATGGCATCACCCACCATATATTGCTTTTCTTTTTTTAAGTGAGCTTTTCCAAATAAAATGTAAATTTACATCTCCCTAATAACCATGTTGTTCCTGGAGTGCTTTACAAATGTAGAGGCTCCTCAGAGCCCATGTGAGTTTGCAGGGTGAGGACGCTCATTCAGGGTTGGCACTGTTTGTGCTCCTTGCACTTGGCTGATTCCCAGTTTATTTAGCTTCATGCAAGAAACTGTTGTCTGGAAGTAATCCAGAAAGGAGTGGGGTGATTGAGTCCACCCGATAGATCTTTTAAATTTCCTGATAGCCATTTTATGCTGCAGCAGCACGGACACATGCACTGTCACAGCAGAAATCTTGAGTGGGCATAGGATGTGGTTTTTCTGGATCTCTAGAATAGTTCCAGAACGCTGTGAACAGCTTGTGGCCGCTTAGCGTTTATCCAAATTAACTTTAAAGTTGGGGGGTTTTTATTTCAGCTTTCTAGTTTTGAGCTTTAAAGTCACATGTTTTTCAAGCCCCCAGCCTTCATACTTGCTGCAGAAAGAAATCTTATTAGTTAAAGCTGAGTTTTTCAGATGGTTGCAAGCATTTGGGAGCTGAGGCTGTAAGAAAAACACCAAATAAAGCCATAATGATTTGTCCCCCAGCTATGTCTCATTCTGGTCTGGATAACTTGGTCTAAACACTCAGTTTAGTGCCTAGCGTATTACATAGCAAAGAGGCTGGTTTTGAACTATTCAAACTCTCGGGTTGTTTATTTATAACACTGTTTGAATCTACGGAAGCTGCTGGTGTTCGTATGGTTTATCTTGCAATAAAATCTAAGTCTACAGGCTGCCTATGAGGTGTGTGAACTACAAAGCTTTCTTCTGTTGAATTGCACTGCTGGGCTAGCTGAGTGGCAGCTGCAGATAGGTACAGTTGCAAACAGGCATTTGAGCAATGCCTGATCTTAATTAAAAAGGGAGAAGCCCTCAATATAACATTTCTGGTGGCTGTGACTTCAGACAGCCAGGGACATCTTTCTGGGGTCAGCTCGCACCCCAATATCCGTGCTCTGGTCCTCTTTACAGCTCCCAGGGGAGGCCAGAGCCCCATCGGCAGCAGACTCTGTTTTTTCATTATTATGTGTTCGCCCTCCCCATAACCAAGTCCACAGCAGTGCAGTTAGCGAAGGGCAATGCCAGCTGAAAGCACATCTTTCCAGGAGGGTGTATTTCTCCGTGCGCTCTGTATCTCTTTTGCCCTCCTCCCTAACGAGTGTTAGCAGCAGCGTGATGAATGATGTTGCACTTTTAGAGCATCCCTGTTTCCCAGAGCAGCCCCCTGGCAGGGGAGGAGGCAGCAGTTCACCCAGGGCAACTGCAGGTATAGTGCCCTGGCAGGA